AATAGAAGAAAAATTTCAAGTAAAATAATGCATAAAACCTAATTTTGTACCTAATTTATCTGAGTTATTATGTATCTTAATATATAAATGTAATCTAATTAGAAATTATATAAAAAACAAAAAAATGGCAAATTTATTTATAAATTAGGTAACTGATATTGTTCATTTGTAATAAAAAATTTCGAAACTATTCAATTAGCATAGCATTAAATATCATATATATATATATATATATATATGCAAGGTATCCCAGAATTCAACGTCAAACCAAAATGAGGTGATAGATGCACCTACTGTAGTTTAAAAATGTTGAGCTTTTAGGCGCCACCTAGAGCATTGGTAGAACTCTGATTTTTTCGGTTATTGGCGTAAATTTTTATTAATTTTTGTTCATATAAACTTTGACTCGTAAATAACGTATTTAGAACCACAGTCATAATTAATTGCTCAGTATTTTAGAGTTGAGACTATTTGTTAAACAGTGAATTTAAAATTTTTATTTGAAATTTTCGGTCCACTTGAGAAGCCCACTTTGAAAAAAATGTACTGAAGTGTGCAAGCAAGTTTCATCAAAAGTTTGCGTATTTAATCAGGAATGTAAAATGGTATAATATTTTTTTGTTTTATTATAAAAATTTCTAGCAAAAAATTAAAATTAAAAAATTCGATTAAACACAAAAAAAATCTTTTGTTGATACAATCTGTATATGAAAGTAACTTTATAATATATTATATACAAGTGTGTTTGTTTATAAAATTAATGTATATTTTATTTTTTTTTGATATGAGTATGATAATACACTACCCCTTACACTACAATATTCCTGTATTTTGGAGCATTTATATTATCAGAATAAATCGTAAAGCTCTACGAAAAAATAGTTAATAATTTACAGTGCATTGTCGGTCTGGTTTGTTTTCCATCATACACAGCGGTGCAAAACAAATTTTCTGTAGATAAAACATTGTACGGAATATATATCTGTGAAATACAGATAAACAACAAAAAAACACATTAAAATTGATATGGTCTTTAATTCTCGGATGAATAAAACGCTGTATTATATCATACATTTTACGATTTATATCTTGCTTTTGTCACTTTTATAGCGAGAATTATTTTTCATAAAAATATATTGAATCTACATTATTCTTAGAGATGTAAAAAATATTAGTATAAATACAACGCCAAAAAGCAAAATTTCTCACCAAATGTACCTTAGAAAAAAATGGATGTATATATGTGTGTGCGTATGTATGTATGTTTGTATCGTCGATGATTTCGAGAACACGGATCAACCGATTTGACTGATTCAAAAGACGTGTTGATTAGTTTTTGACAAGGCAGGTCCAGTCGTTTTGAAGATACGGGATAGAAAGCACCAAAATGGTAATTCAGTTTTTAAGAGAAACTTTGCTCTGCATTAAACTTAAGATTTTTAATATGTAGAACTTGTATTAGTAATAGTTTTCTTCATATTTTCATTACTCATTTTGAAAACTTAATAGATCAAATTAAATGAAAATTAAATAATAAATCTACTAAGAATGATATTAAAATATATACTATATAGTCTAACCAAATGAACTAATTACAACGTCCGATTTCAAAACCGTTACTTGTGTTGACGAAATGAAGAATTGATGATTTTTTAGAAAAAGCCTTTTTGTCGCTTAAAAATGATCATTGGACATGTGCACATCAAATTGTCAGATATTTTACAGATATTTTAATAATAAGTACAAATTTGTTTACATTTGCATGGGTTTCGTACCAAGTTTTGTAATTAATTTATCGCTTTGATATTTTATCTCTAAAACTGCTAAGCAAATTCTCATAATAAACAAAACATAAAGAAATAATATATATTCATTATATATGTATCTAATAAATATTTTAATTGAATCTTTTTTTTCAAAAGTTTCAAAATTGCCAAAAAAAAATTAAGTTATTAAATATTTTAAATTACGGTGCGGAAAGTTCTAGCAATTTGCCCTAAGGCACGATACCGTACACTAGTTTTTGTGATAGAATTTCTCATATATGCATTTTTAAAAAATTCAAAAGTTGCATGACATGAAATGGATAAAAAAGAACATGACTGTATAATGATCTTTATGTAACTGTAGAAATTCCAATAAATTTATTTCTAAAAAAAAATAAAGATCCAATTATATATACAGGTGAAATTCATATTTGAGCTTTTTTGTCAAACTATAAACTATAAACTAAACTATATATATATAGATTATATGGAAATCTACATATATAGTGATTCATGTGTAAAAGTAGAATTTTTTTAGTAAATTTTATGATTTCATGATTGAATGACTGTATGATCTATATACTATAATATATAATGGCCTAGACAGTAGGTATGAGGCTTGCATAGTATTTTCTACAAGTTTTAATGGTAAATCTGCCAAAGTAAGACTAGTCCTCAAACCCACATATTTAAAACCATAGATAAACATTATAGTAAGTCATTTTCATTGCAACAGTAAAAATACAGCATGCGTAACTTTAAAGTAATAATGTATACGCAATTTTTGACGTATTGTTTTATTTATTAAACTAAATTATATAATTTCATCTGCCAAACATCATATAATGTATCTTATATTGTTTTAAATTCTGGCACATCTCAGCTGGATAACAGCAAATAATATTGTAGATATTGCATTTTTCTTATTAAGTTCAACTCGGAATTCGAGATACCCAGATGTATGTCTATAAATACTTGTATTTTGCACTCTAAAAGTTGTCTCAAAACCTACATATGTTGCGTACACCCTATCATATGACAACTTTTAGGGTACAAAATACAAGTATTTACATACTTATAGTTCATTCCGAGATTCTTACCTAATTTGAGCTCAAAACACTGGACTAGGATAACATGTCACAACCGAATGATAACATATTTAGTGTCGGTTAATTTCAAAAATACATATATTTTAATAGCTTTTTCATACAATTGTATGATTTAAATATATTAATTTTCATTGATAAATGTGATGTGCGCAACTATATAAACCATAAAGTTACACTAATAAATTCTCATTTTTCCCTGTGTGGTATATACATTTTTACAACACCTTGCTTTATTTCGTAAAATATTTCCTCTGTTTTACATGCCATTGAAATATCAGCAAATTTGTTGTTTCCCCAACACCGAGTGTAGCAGATCTGAATTTCTAAAAGCTCGTGTTATGACCTGTTTCAGTCTCCGGATCAGCCGACGAATCCGCGGGACGTGATCCGGCGCATCCGCGCCAACTACCCGAATGACCCGCGATCGCCCTTCTACGACCCGTCTGGAGGAGAAATGAAACCGCTCGCCCGTCTGCACTTGGCAAGACAAAGACTCTACGAGAAGGCTTGCGAGAACAGCGTGGACAACATACCAGGTATGGTGGAATCGTTGATGATAACATTTCTGTGGTCAAAGGGAAGGCATTCTTGAACTTTGAAACATCAAGCGGAATTTGTGGGATAGAGGTTTAATGTTAGATAGAGGTCTTGTTGTAACCGTTACATAATATTTCGAATTTATATGAAAATAATTAAATATGTAAAAAGTTTAAACTATTTCTTGGTTTGCAATCTGATCTATATTGTACAGCAATCGATTCTTATTTCTCTAGTTTCTTTTATATTAATTTATACATATATATATATACGAGTATACTAGATGGCCCGACAGACGTTGTCCTGTACCCAAGTCCATAATTTAAGTTCCATTTTTTTTACCTTTCCTTTTCTATACTTTTTGATATTTTGACAACCTAAAAATCAGTCATTTATGGCAATAAAAAAATAATAAAAACTAGTGGATCGATCTATTTAAAATTTTGAGGGTATATTTATACGTGTCTTGAGAACACACAGTAAAATTTTTGAAATAAAAATATTAAATACTTTTGAAATGACATGCAATCTCCGGCGGCGCCAAAAAAGGTCCGCCACTGCTGCAGTGATTGCAGCCTTCTCCGTTGATAAAACATAATAAAGAAAATTTCGTTAAACTAGATAATATTGTCTGTACAATGACCTACAATAAAAATAAAAAATCAAAAATTGACAATATGGTGGCGTTTTAAAAAAGATAGTCGAATTTTACCTAAAATTTTGATCGTTTTTGGCCCGCCAAAATTCGATTTTTGATCAGATCAAAAAATCGATAGGTCATTGTACGGAGAACTATATATAGAACATATAAAAAAAATCGATGGTGATCGGTTCATTTGTTTTTGAGTAATCCCTGCAGCAAATTCGGAAAATGCTGTTTCAAGAAAAACGCGTTTAAAGATAAAATGATCGTTATACTATATACTATATATATACTCTTTAGATGGCTGTAACTCAAAAACTATTTAAGATATCGATTTAAAATTTTGGTATGTTATTTTTAAAGGTATAACCTATCGAAATATGGAAAAATTGAAAATTCGATTCTTTGAAAATTTCACACTAGGTGTGCCCTTAATGTCCTTACATTTATGATCTTAGCATAAGTTCTATATGTATTAGAAACTGCAGTTTTTTGATCGGTATAAAAAATTCAGAAAGAATAAATATAGTATCTACGGTAAAAGAACAATATCACCTTTGTTATTTCCAACCAATATGATTGCTTCAATAATTTATATAATATATAATAGTCTACAATTTTTATAATCGCGTTATAAATTTCATTAGTCGTTTTTTGGCAATTACAATCTTCTAAATTACATACAATAATTTAATAAACATTATTACTTTAGTTAAAATCTTAGGTGAATTAATTTTTGAAATCTAGTTTATATGGCACTGTTCAATCTAAGATCATAATGAAACAATTGAATGTTTACGTACCTTCATTTCTGACATATGAAACAAAATTCTAAATCATTTTTTCAATAAATAGAAATATTCTTTTGTATTTAAATAATTTGGTAAAGTGAAGCAAAATGCAACATGCATAAGTTTAAAGTAATAATGTATATGCAATTTTGGACGTACTGTGTTATTTATTAAACTAAATTTTATAATTTCATCTGCTAAACATCATGTATTGTATCTTATATTATTTTAATTTCTGGTACATCTCAGCTGGTTTTTGGCAATAATATTGTAGATATTAGATTTTACTTATTTAGTAAATGGCTATTTTTTGGCAGATGACAGTTCTCATGTATCAAAATGTTTTCAATGTCAGTGATATGTTGTTTTTTGCAATTTTTTTTCCGTTTATTTCTGCAATATTACTTTATTTTTATAATCACACACATCCTAAAAAATTTCCTTAATAAACTTCAGAAAGATTTAACAAAATCCAAATAATCGTTTAGGAGTATATTTACATACATCATCACAGAAGAATTTTATATATGAGAATATACATATCTTTACACATGTATATATATATCACAGGGTGTTCAGTGGCGTAACGCTCTAGGCAACCTGATATCGTGCAGTAGCGATGTCTATTTCACTTGAAAATAAATATCAAAAAAATGTGTCTAATTGAAAAAAGCCCATTTTGGGATTCCTATGTGAAATGGCAATGTGAGTTTAACTCAGCTCATGCACCTGCGTGAGGGCAATACTATTCATTACAATAGGTCACATGAAAGCCTAATTTTTGTGTTGAATTTATCTTTAAAAAATTTGAAGAAGCATAGAACTAAAACTCATTACATTAAGCTGTATTTTCAAAATATCATTTATTACCGTGACATTTTCAGTAATTATTATCATTTATCCGTTGACAAGACTTTTAAAAATAGGTCGTCCCGGCACAAATAAATGCTCCCGGATAATGGAATAATGAATAGGCAACCGCCCGTCAGGACGTCAACTTGACATATCTCGTTTCAGCTCAAAACGAATTATTCCCTCAGATGGAATACGTCTTCTAATTTATATTTATTCCGGATATAAATTACTTGTATTCGTCTTGAGCATTTGAATCAATTCGCTTTATGTTAATGTCAGGGCGAATTGCTCAAGTGGTTTGGGGAACTGTTAGAATCTGTTTTTGACATAATAATGGGTGTTGGTGTATATTATTTCGGGCTTTGATGTTTCAAAGAGTAAGATGATATTATTGAAGCCAACCATAGTCAAATATAAATAAAAAAATGGTCTGGTCGCTTTTTTCCTTTAATTAAAACTGTGGAAATATTTGTTTTTGAATCTGTCAAAGAAAATACTTTTTCATCAATCTTAAAAGCAATAGCAAATATTTTTGAATTCTTATGCTATAATTTAATTTAGAAGCAATTTAAAATATAGACCAAAATTCTAAGGTAGAATTATCGTATCAATAAATAGAAAAAAATTATAAAAATATATAATAAATTACGTACATATCGTCATTTATAATTTATAATATTTTTCTATTATTAATAGCATTGTTTTTAAAAATGTATTTCATATACACCAAATTAATATGATTTTAATAGTTAAATCACGCGATAGATAATATTGTTCTAAATATAAATAACTATGTTCTTTATTTAAAAATTTTGAATTTAAATCATATGAATCCATCATACACAAAAATCGTATTTTATTATTGCAATAAAATTGTATAAATGAACCAATGCTTTATAGCTCTTAAACGCTTCATGATTCGGAAAATATTTCATTTTATACATTGTATTTTGATATCGATAAATGTATTTATATTATGCTCTGAAAAGTGGGGTTGTAATAAAATTCACAAGATATATTTATTCATATTATGTACCCCAGGGCAATATCATTTCGCTCTTCAATAAACGTTTAAGGAATCTGTATTGAGAAGGTAAGAATTATATCTTTTTTATTGACGTTATAAACACTGACACATTTTCGAAAAATCGTAAATAAATAACATAAATATGGAAGAAACTGTTATGCCTACTAATTATGGTGTTTAGATATGTATTCTTAACAGTTATTCAAAACAAAGATATCTCGATACGAGTTTAAAATCTCAATCAAACTAACAAACTAACTTTTTACCCCGTTGTGTAAAAAGATTTATACACAAAAAGATTTCGAAAACTGTAGTAGTTGAAGTGCTTTTGCTCTTGAAGTTTATGATGAATATCTAACAAAAAGTTCACCTGAGAGTTGCGTTACAAAACTTTTAAGTTTTTTAATAAATTAAAAATGAGAACAAAGTCTTCCGGGCAGAAAATTATAAATGACCCAAGAGAAATGGATACGGCGTAAATTTATAATGAAATGCAGTTGTTTAGCTCTGGAAGATGCTGGTTATATGAAACATAATTTGTAACTTTTGAGATACAATGTACTATTTTTTATCCAGATAGTAAATGATACATTTTTTCAAAGCATGTAACCGCGATACTTGTGAAAGTAATATAACATAAATGAGAATAAATAGTATGTGGAACTGAAAACATTAACAAAATTTAGTTGGGTGTTAAATTTAAGAATGTAGGAATAGTATTCAGGTTTTCCCATAATGTATTTATTTTTTTACTGATTTATATACAATATAGTACTAAAGGAGCATATATATTCGAGACTAGCCTTTTCATGCAGAAGATATCCTATTGCCCATTGGTAAAGACCATTGTGCTTCCATTTTCTCCCTGAAATAGCCGGCGCGTAAACTAACTATGATTAATGTCCTGAGCTCCTTTGCACTGTAATTAGTCATATGCATTATATTGTACATTTGCTGTCAGCCTGGTGACTTCAAACGCTTCCGTAAAAGGAGCTTGTAGGACAGAAATGCTATCTTCAAATTGCTGAAGAAGTCTAGTTTTAATTATAGGACGTTGTAAATATACGACGTAGAACTTGTTTTATTCCAATAATTTTCACATAAAGGGTTTTATAGCAAGATTTAGCTAGTTGTAAATGACCCTAAGGCAAACTTAATAAAAAAAGAATTGAGATCTAGCTATATAGGTGAAACGTTCATCTGTTCATTTCGATAATAAAATTTTTGCATTTTCTAAATATGATTACCAATTGATGTTCAAAAAAAAATTTGTTTAACACTTTTCATTTCATCCGTCTCGGTTTCTAAAATTGTATTTTTTTAAGTAAGCTGTAATCAGTATAGGATTCTAATTAGAATCGCTTAAGAGGGCGAGTAAATTCGAAATTTTGATGATTTTTTATGATTCAACCGAAATATGTAATTATACATAGTTTAATCGAACTCGAAACAATTTTTTTTTCATTATTTAATTACGAGGAAACAGCAAGGCCGATCTTTATCAGAAACTAATCAACACATTTCGCAAACATTATCTCTCGAACAGTTTTTGAATTTTTAAAATTGATTGTTGGGTAAAACGTGGACGAAAAACTTTACACTTTTCTGTAAATTGTAAAGAAACGGTTTGGCTGATTGTGACACAAAATTGACATCCTTTTCGAGCTCCATAGGATGGTTTTTCAATGTTGAAATTGATCCAGTCGTTTTTAAGAAAACTTTGGCGAAAGGACGAACACAGACACACACTTTTTTCTAATTTAGTCTCATCCGATTTAGAATAACCTGAAACGTCGAGAAAACAAATTATCAAATTGGATATTTTTGCAAAAAACAAACTTTTCCTTCAGGAAATTAATAAATAAATTTTCAACCTGAAATAAATAAGAATGCTAGAGTATAATAAATGAAAATTTAATTAATTGAAATGAATAAACTGATGATGCATGGCATCGTGCATTAAGGCAAATTGTTTGAAATTTCCGTACCAAAAACTTTTTTTTTTTTAAAAAACTTTGAAGAACTTTGAAAAAATTAGATTTTTGTGATTTTTTTTTTTAATTTTTGAAAAAAAAAGACTTGAATAACTTGATTTCTTTGTATTTTGATTTTTTTGAAAATTGTGAAATTTTTTTTAAGCAATCGCGCTGCATAGCTGATTTAGAGTCGAAATATCAAAGCGCTTAAGCGCTGCGTAGTCATCTAACGCCTAAATATTGGTACGGTACCCACATAAATGCACACAAAATTTCTACTTATTATTATAATCTATATAAAATATCTGAAATACGATGTACATATGTCTAATGTTCATTTTTGGCCGCCAAATGGCATTGTTTTTTACTTTTTTTATTGGAACTCCGGTGACGCTGGAGCTGCCTTTAGAAAAATTACACACACACATACATCCATTTTTTCTAAGGTATGCCAAAATGTTCAGAAACCTCTGAAACGTAAAGATATATAAACATTTTCATTCTCGATTTTGCTGTTACTATAACTTACCCTACGGTAACTTAACAAAGAAATGAAGAAATATATATTATTAAGCCCGAAGGAATGTCGCGACATTGTAAACATTCTAAAAGAATCGAATGCCGACATACTCGTGATATTTTAGAAAACTGTAGGTTTGGCTTCAGTTGTAAAAATACGGCAAACAAAAGGAGTGTTGAAGCACCAAGTATTAGTAGGAACCTGGAATTTTTTAGTAGCAAAGATGAAAGTCCAATAACTTGATAATACTTATGCATGTTTGCTAATGAAGCTCTTAATTTCTCAAAAATCCGTTGACCTCATAATTATAGTTTTATAAAAATCCGCTCGTTTGTTAAGGGGGTATTCTAGTGTAGAGCGATGAATTTTAGATCATTTTTGAAGTGTCGTACGAGAAACCAATGAATGTTTTTACTATCCATTTTTTACTTGAAAAATGCCTATATCTCCGAAAATAATTCAAATTTTTAAAAACCTTCTCGTACCCATATTCTTAGATAGTTAAACTTTGAAAATATGAAATACAAGATAATCGTGTTTTCTGAATTTCTACACTAGAATACCCCCTTAAGGTTTAATATTTGCTTCTTAACCTTTTCACACAGAAATGAACTTAATTTTGAAATAAATTTCTAATCATATATCCTTCACCTCTCTTTCCAGAGGAAGACGACGACCCTTCTGGTGCATGTGCCGTGACCAGCTGGCTTCCCTGGTCCGAGTGCAGCGTGACCTGCGGCAAAGGCGTGCGGCGCAGGCAGCGCTATTACCGAGACGAGGCCAAAGCCGAGATCATGTCCTGCAAACGGAAACTGACAGACCGCAATTCGTGCTGGGTACAAGATTGCAGGTAAGCGGACCGTAACAGTAAACAACATACTAGATACTAATATTATGACGACATTGTGATAAAAAGTAGATAAAATAATATAGAAAGGATTGTTTATTTTTAAGAAATATACAGTAGTAATTTGATTAACTTGACTAATTGTTGTCCATAGGCATTCGGATAATCAAATGCATGAAGAATAATGTTGTGTTTTTATTAAAAATAACGAATACATACATAGATATCAACAAAAATCGATGTTTATTGAGAAATTATCACTTTCTTATGTATGTACATAGATATTTTCTTAGATTAAATTACATACATATACTAAACTGCACCATTAATCATGCATAAATTCGACAACTGAGGTCCGGATAAATGATTTCTACTGTGGATATATTGATTTAAAAATACTTTAGTTAATAAAAGTTCTACAAATTTTTTGAACATTTTTAAAATGTTGACATTTATCGTGAAAATGAATATATATTGATTATATATTAATCGTACATAAAATATACATACATTTTTGATATAACAGAATAAGAAATAAATGATTTAAAATGATCATATCTACAACTAACTTAAAATTATTATATTTTATACGCATTTTTTTTCAAACAAACAAACCTTTTTCGACATAATAACCAAATGATCAATTTTAGTTAGCTTAATTTATGAAGGCAATGAAATGTTATTATTTATTCTGAATACAAGTAGGTTAAATATAAATCTGTTCACGTTTTACAGTTTTTTAAGTTTTTTCATATTTCTGTATATATAAATCTTATGATATATATAAATTAAGAGGTTTTTTCAGATGGTGAAATCTTATAATAAAGTTGTTTTTGGGCGTACATCCATTAATTGAAACTATTTTATTGAAGTAAAATGTTTTATTGTCAAAAACACGGAAAATATAATGCACCAATTACTATACAATTTACAAAGCATGACTTTTAATAACTATTAAATGAACAGGTTTTAAATAAAGATATCTTCTCATCGACACATGTTATATGTTCGGAATTTTTTTTTACTAGAGTATTAAGAGTAATAAGTTTCAATTAATGGATGGACGCCCGAGAACAACTACATTCTATATATATATATATATATATATATATATATATATATATATATATATATATATATTCATAATAGACTATCGTTATCTACCATTTAATATTATTTTTAATGACTAGCATTGCTAGTAATTTTTAGTACTATTATTGTTTTTATCACAATATTGATTCTATTAGTTAAGTTTATTTACATTTCAATGCTTTATTCTATTCTCAATTATTTTCTAATTATTAAAATGCTAATTGTTATAATTTTGTTTGTATTTAATAAATAATTCTATTTCTTCAGCCTGTTTGTTTATTAATGATGATTTTGTATTTTTTACAATTATTTTAGTATATAAACAAAAGCTATTTCTTATAAATTGCTTTATTTGATTTATAGTTGTAAAATGAACAAATAGAATTTGCATTTACTAAAGAAAATTAGAAATCAGATTATTTTTGTTCAATTATACTAAGTAGTTTATACAGTAATATTTTTTTAACAAAGGATGAATAATTATATTTCTAAAGTATTCAATTACTTCTGTTATGGTTAAATGAAAGAATTTCAAAAAATTGTGAGCAACTTTTTAATTAATATTTGGTTCATATTTATTTTGAACTACATAGATCAGCTTATTTTTTAATGAACTATTTAAGAAGTTTTTTGCAAAATGTTTGAAGAACCCACATTGAAATCGGAAATTTCCGCTGTTTTATTTGTATTTTGCAGCAATGAGGGAGGTGTTGCCCAAACTAATCATTTGCAACAATCTTTGGAGGCTGATGACGAATATAGTACTGGTGAATGTGCATTGACACCTTGGTCTGATTGGTCGTCATGCAGCGCAAAATGTGGTCCCGGAAATAAGATGCGGTCTCGGAGGTAAAATATATAACACATAAATATATATATATATATATATATATATATATATATAAGCAAAAATGTTCTAAAAATTTGGTGTCAATTTATAAAGTTATGTGTTACTTAAAAGCATCTTTATTATCATTGGCTCTCTGCCCGATGGCTGGTCCATAGTGTGAGACCACCACATTATTTACTTTGTTATCTTTAGATTATAGTTCTAGATTTATATATATATATATATATATATATATATATATACTAGATGACCCGACAGACGTTGTTCTGTACCCATGTCTACAATTTTTTAATATAATATACTATTATTTACCGTTTATTTAAAAATAATAATTATTGTTTTTTAAATTACTCTTCTCGGCAAAATGTATACATATTTATAATATGAGCGATGTTAAATCTAGAACTGCTTTAAATAATAGTCTCAATTCTCACACTATATTGGAAATTGAAGTCTTGTGGTATACTATAACCGTAGCCATAAAATAACACTGGTACTTCATGTTGGATTGAATTAATTTAATTTTTTATTATTTAAGATATCCAAAATTGCATCTTAAACTTCTCCTAATCGATATCGTTAGGGCCGAATTGTATGTATTCATCTTTTCTTTCCCATTTGTTGTTATAAAGTAAAATTTTTACAAATTTTAAAAATATTGTAGAAAGACTAGTAAAACATGCAAAAAAATTATATGTTCATATGTGTATCATTCAATCTGCCCTACATATACTGTATCTTATATTATTTTAATTTCTGGCACATCTCAGCTGCCCTTTGGCAATAATAATGTAAACATTTTATTTTTCTTATTCATAATCATAAATTCATCATACATATTCTAACATTGTCTAGGTTCATAAGTAAATTGAAATTCTTAGCAGATGATAGTTTTCTTTTTTTTTTCTCATTTTGTTATTATTTTCATTTTCATTTATTTTTACAATGTTGCACATACATCCCAGTACTTTATAATCACATACATCCTAGAAAATTTCTTTAACAAACTTCAGAAAGTTTTATCAAAATCCGAATAATCGTTTAGGAGGAGTATACAGTGAGTGCACATTTTAAACGAACATTTTAAAAAAAGTTGGCCAAATTGGTCCAGGCGTTGTTGAGTTATGCGCTTACCAACACATTTTGCGATCCATTTTTATATATAAGATATATATCTGAATCCAAATCAAAACATTTTAAATAATATCCGCCATATTTTACATTCAGAGGCATGGACGATAACATTTATCCTTTTTTCTCTCTTGACTTGACCTCTTAATTTCCATAATTTATATAAGACAACAGCATTAAAAATTTGACATAGGTAAAAATATATCGCATAATTCAAAATGTGCATAACTGTAAATAACGTCAATAAAATAGCTTTTTCAAAAACGAACATACCTGTTCCAATACTGCGACATGTATTTTCTTTCCGATGCTGTCATATATCACATAGTTGTCGACGTTTCCTTATAAATATCAGAAGTTATTTTTCACCGCATTATATATTGAAAACATGTATGCATGTATTTATAATGTTATAGGTAAAGTTCGATGTGACAATTTTTACCATGAATATAAAACAAACTCAATATGCAATATTTCAATCCATCATTTCTAGATATCGGCGTCGTGGAGCAATGAAGCATTGCCGTGCAGGAAAACCGAGACCTCCATCCCTCCAGCAAACCGATGTCTGCACTGGGGAAGAGAAGGACTGCGACCCTCCAGAAGGGGTGAGTAAATTAATGGCTCGAATGGAAATGCAAAACGCGATGTAAAAACATGACTTTTTGTAGTATACCACAATTCTAGATCTTGACAATGAAGCGTTGGTCGAAAATTAATGTTAATAAAAAGATACAGAATAATATTGTAAAAACTTAGATATTATAGATTATTTTTATTAACTTCGCGATGGAGAAAAAAAATTTCATTCGCTAATTTTATGTTTTCTCGACGTTTCAAGCCATTCTGAATTGAATGAGACCAAATTTGAAAAAGGTATGCGTCTATGTGAACAGATTTTTTGCCGTAAATCAACGTTTTCTCAAAAACTGCTGGACCGATTGCAAAAATTTAAAGCCATTCGATGTATCTCGATGAGAACTATCAATTTTGAGGAACGATCAACCAGGCCATTTTTTTGTGAATAACAAAAAAGTGAAAAAAATGTAGACCACGTTTAGCTCGCAATTCTGAATCGATTTTAAAAATTCAAAAACCGTTCAAAAAATATTGGTTGGGAATCGTGCTGATTAATTTTTGGTAAAGATCGGCCGGGCCGTTTTCTTGTAATAGTAAAAAAACGATGATTTTTATGATTTTTTTTACTGTAGATACCATAGTCTTATAGATCATACTAAAATATTACGGCCCTACGACTGGTCGTTTGTTTTTAAAAATTCGTCAAAGTTTGCAAAAATTAATATAGTTTTTTTGGAGTTTGCCAAAATTAGAACTTTCATCGACATTTGCTCAAAAACTCCTGAATCGATTTCAAAAATTTAACTCAAATCGATGTATTTCGATATGGATTATCTTTTCTCAGTTTTGTGCAGCGATCGGCTAAGCCGTTTCTTTGTAATTTGAAAAAAAGTGTTAAACTTTTCGTCCACATTTAAGCTGATACTACCAAATCGATTTTAAAAAACCAAAAGCTGTTCGAAAGATATTATTTGGGAATGATACTGATTAGTTTTAGGTGAAAATCTACCGAGCCGTTTTCTTGTAATTGACTGTTGAAAAAAAAATATAAGCCGATTTTTATGGAACTTTTTTTGGCGATATATATCATGACCTTATAGAACTTACTCAAATATTTATGGCCTTACGACAAATAAATAGTTTAAAAATTTTCATCCAAAGTTTGAGAAAATGAGTAGTTTTTTTTGACGTTTGTTCGAAAGATATTATTTGGGAATGATACTGATTAGTTTTAGGTGAAAATCTACCGAGCCGTTTTCTTGTAATTGACTGTTGAAAAAAAAATATAAGCCGATTTTTATGGAACTTTTTTTGGCGATATATATCATGACCTTATAGAACTTACTCAAATATTTATGGCCTTACGACAAATAGTTTAATTTTAAAAATTCATCAAAGTTTGAGAAAATGAGTAGTTTTTTTTGACGTTTGTTAAAATTAAAATTAGACGATTTACTTGGTATAACGATAGAGTACGTGGTCTTAATGAACATACTAAATCAATAAAGTCCTACGGAAACAGGTTCAATTATAAAAATTATAGATTTTTGAAAATTTGCTTTTAGTAATACTCCGAGTTAACGGGTTCGTTCGTTTTCAATTATGTGTTATAAATCTACTCGGAATACTTTCAATCACTCATAAATTATTTTATTTTTTATTGATTAAGTCGATTATTTACATATATCGAGAAGTTCATGTAACTTGCCTCAAGGCAAAATACCAACGACAAGTTAATTTTGTATTACTTATGCTCTGATAATATACATGAATTTCAATAATTGCAGTAATGTTTTTTTTTTATTTTCAGACTCTCGATGTCCCTCCTGGTTGCCCAATGACCATGTGGTCAACCTGGTCTCCCTGCTCCGCAACCTGCGGAAAAGGTCACCGAATGCGCAGCAGATATCCCATAGCCCCGACAGAACAACTTCGCAACTTTTACAAACGGGGACTCACGCACCAATATCGAGTGAGTAATTGACGTACTCCATCATAATTCTCTACTCCAATTATAACTTTTAATCTCAGTTTGAAAATAATGTTTTTGCGCTTATCAGGCACAACATTGGGACCAGAACTCAAATGAAGCGAATTATGACGAGACTCCACAAGACGAGGATAATGACCAGGATAATGACGAAGATGAAGAGGATGAAATTAGTGTGGCTGCATGTGAAGGAGTACTTAGGGTGCAGCAGGTTACTTGTGTTGCTCCTATTGCTTCGTGCGAATCGCTACCACCACATTTGAAAGGTAAACTCAATATAAATTGTCATTCTTTGATGAATATATTTTAAACTATATGCACAAATTTGCTTTCAAGTTATTTTTTTTTAAATCCAAAATTATAACTTGTTTGACGCTAGAACTCTTTATTTCCGATCAGATTTACAATTTTGCAGTATTTAACTACATTTGAAATAACATAGTTAGCTGTATTTTCAGTGAATTCTGCTTATGTAATTGGCAACATGTTATTCAATACAAAATATTAATAGTAATTTGTACCGGTCAGTAATTTTATGTAACTCATTAAACATGCAAGCGGATTATACAAACATATAACATACGAGATATACTATTTGTTTTTAGTTGGTGTTATTTTAGTGTATTTTTAATAAAATTTGTAATATATTTGCGAAATATCATTTCCCAAAACATGAAATAAAACGATGTATAACAATGTAGAATTAATGCTATGAGCAATTTTGTTTTCGTTAATTATTTGATTTGGAATCAAAACTTGTTGGTTTTGTATTTAGCCTTGAGGTAAGTTACATGAACTTCCCGATATGTTTAAATAATTGACTTAATCAATAAATTAATTAATGAGTGATTAAAAGTATTCCGAGTGGATTTATTACACATAATTGAAAACGAACGAACACTTTGACTCGGAGTATTTTCTAAAAGCAAATATTCACAAATCAATCGTTTTTATAAAAGAGCCAGTTTTTTGTAGGACTTGAATTATTTAGTATGTTCAATAAGAGCAAGTACTCTATCGTTATACCAAGTAAATACTCTAATTTTAATTTTAACAAATGTCAAAACAACTACTCATTTTTTTAAACTTAGATGAATTTCTAAAATTAAACTACTTGTCGTAAGGCCGTAATATTTCGGTAAGTTCTATAAGACTATGATATATATCGCTGAAAAAAATTCCATAAAAATCGGTTTAAATTTTTTTTGCAACAGTTAATTACAAGAAAACGGCTCGGTAGATTTTTACCAAAAACTAATCAGTATCATTCCCAACTAATATCTTTCGAACAGTTTTTGATTTTATAAAATCGATTCGGTAGTATAAACTTAAATGTTGACGAAAGATTTAACACTTTTTTCCTAATTACAAAGAAACGGCTCGGCCGATCGTCGCACAAAACTGAAAAACGATAATCCTCATGGAGATACATCAAATGGTTTTTAAATTTATGAAATCGGTTCAGGCGTTTTTGAGCAAACGTCGATGAAATTTCTAATTTTGACAAATGCCAAAAAGACCATACCAATTTTTGCAAACTTTGTCGAATTTTTAAAGCTAAACGAGTTGTCGTAGGGCCGTTATATTTTAGTATGATCTAGAAGACTATGGTAACTACCGTCAAAAAAATAATAATAAAAATCGACGAAAAAAATGTTTCAACACCAAAAACTAATCAGGTCGATTCCCAACCAATATATTTCGAACTATTTTTGAATTTTCAAAATCGATTCAGAATTGCGGGCTAAAACGTGGACGAAAAACTTTTCACTTTTATGCTATTTACGAAGAAACGGCTTGGCCGATCGTCGCACAAAACTGACAAGATCCTCATCGAGATACATCGAATGGCTTTTAAATTTTTGAAATCGGTCCAGCCGTTTTTTAGAAAACGGCGATTCACGGCAAAAAATCTGTTGGTGAACACGCTCACACACACACACATAGGACCGTGCAGAGCACCAGGAGTTGAACGCTGGTACTTCAATTCAGAACGCCAAAGCTGCGAGCCCTTTATGTATAGTGGATGTTACGGCAACAACAATAATTTTAAAAATAAAGAACAATGCGAAGAGGTGTGTCCGAAGGGACCTGGTAAGTAAAATATATTTGATAAATATATTTGCGAACTGCATTTCAATACATTGAACTTTTGTTTTGGTGCATTCTTTGCATGCTGCAGGATTAGCGGCTTATATTCTGGATCAACCGATGGGCGATGTTATAGACGCAAATGGTGATTGATAAAATTATTAGAAAAAATAGACACAAGTTACATAATATTATTACACAGCAAAAAAATTTTTGTAAACTTTTTAGAAATTATTTAAACATAAATTTTACTCAGATATTCAGAATATTATGTTTGCAAATAATTTTCTGGTATTTAACAAATAATAATTCATTCTTCTCTCATTTTTATTTTTCAGACGTGAATCTCTTTGGCGATCTCTCATCCGACAGTCAAAAAAAAGAACGTCGACTGTACGGGCCTGTCCAGGGCACGCAGTTGACAGGGGATGGCACCCTGACTGGGTACGACAAGAGCCCTTTATATCTGGAAAGCAAGCAGCCGCCGGGCGTCCTCAAGTGTCTGGTCACCAAGTGGTCGCCCTGGAGCGAATGCAGTGTGACTTGTGGACGAGGCCACAAACAGAAGACGAGATACATAACGGTAATTATATATGAAAATTATATAAGAAACTATATTTCGTCAATCTCCCGCCCCCCAGCTATTTTCCTCAGACAACTATCCCCTTAGCCCGTATGCCGCAATTAGTGTCGTAAGCTCCAGAGATACTACTACTATAACCGCACCTCTATATCTTGCTTATTTCAGAGGCATCCTGTGAACGGAGGCAAGCAGTGCCCGAGCAAATTACTGAAGCGAAGAACATGCCGGAGGCCCCCCTGCCCGAACGGCGAGGGGGCCAGAGAGAGCGGCGAAAACAAGGACTTAATGCCCACATGGGGACCGGCTAATACCCACGATAATAGTAAGTCCTACACTAATACTAATACTACCAATCATGTCTAACCTAATAATGCACGTACTCATCAATTTGTTCGGGTAACGGATAATACTGTTAATCCTACGGGTAATGGATAATTTGTTCCGTTTTTTTGCATTATCATGAATTTTGATTAAGTCACTAATCAATATCACCTGAATTATGAGCATCATGTTAAAAATTATTTTGACATAGATACTACTACTATATTCGCCAATCCGTAGAGAATATATATACATCATGATATATATGTATATATATATATATAATATATATATATATATATAAGCTTAAATAAGATATATCCCACCGTCAATCACAGATAATATATATCGGATCAGTTAACCCGCAATCATCAGCATTACATAACAGATTAATCACCCTATACGACACAATAATTTATAGAATTATTCAGTGAAAGACATATTTCATTTCATTTCATAAGCGACACTTTTAATAGTAATAGTAATAACATAATACAATTCAGAAAATTATTACTTTGCCATCGATAAGAACAAATCTATATATTAATGAAAATAATAAAGCATTATCAGACTTATTTAAAATTTCATATTAATTTATTTTGTAATAACTTTTCAGAGGGGGGAAATATTTTATTTTTTTAAATTTTCTTCAAGTTTTATTTTAAATTTAATTCATTTTTATTTTAATTTATTTAACATACTTTAGGGGGAAATGCTAGTTACAAATATTAAAATCAATTCTTTACCACTACTCCTATACCACTCCTTTAATTGAACATTTTTTATTAATTCATTATCTATTATTTTCTTTATAAATCAAACATATGAAATTTATTGATAATATCTTTTAAAATGTAATATATTATATTTATTCATTTAAAATACTTTAGGCGGAAAATGTTAGTTGCAAATACTAAACAAGATCTTAGATTTTTACAAAAAAAATTACTTCTATTTAAAATAATATCAAATTCTTATAAACATCATTTCTGTTTGTACAGCTTTAGTTCAAATTATTGAAAGACATTTTGAAATATTTTATAAAATTTACGTCTATTTAAAATTATTTCAAATTTTTATAAATATCATCTCTTTTGGGAAAGTGTTTGTTCCAAATATGAAGCGATCTTGAACTATAAAACTTATTTTTATTTCAAATGATTTTAAATCATGAATATCATCTTTTTAGCTATTCTGGCTTAAATAAAATTAAGATCAATTATGATTTTCAAACTAGAAAAAAAATATCAATAGCGTCATAAAAATACTAACTAACGTATCTATCTTACTATCAAAATAAAATCTATTATCATTCGCGGTTTGATATTACGGATATGATATTAAGTGGAACCCATAGTATATTATATATTATTCACAAACAATTTTATACTTTATTTTGTCCGTTTAGTAAAATTTTCAGAAATTATTATTTATTGCTTATTCTAATTTTATCATTTATTTCATATCTAATTTCGTTCGTTACCGTTTTTTTTAAACACATTTTACTCAATTTAAAAATACCAAATTAAAACGATGTACCACAATTCACCTCTTTTAAACACATTATTAACGGGTTTTTAAACACATTTTACTCAATTTAAATGTGATACCAAGTTAAAACCATGCTTTATTATTCACAAAAATCCATACGTTATTTTGACCGTTTCGTAAAATTCTCAGCGACTACTAGTTATTGCTTAATCTAATTTTATCATTTATTTCACGATTTTTTCAAACACATTTTACTCAACTTGAATAAGATATCAAGTTAAAACCATGATTTCATAAAATTGTCAGCAATTATTTGTTATTTTTAATCTAATTTTTAATCGATTTTTTTAAACTCATTTTACTCAATTTGAACATGATTTTAAGTCAAAACCATGGTCTATTATTCACAAAAAATGTTATACTTTATTTTGTCTGTTTGGTAAAATAATCAGCAATTTTTAGTTAGCTAAATCTAATTTTATCATTTATTTTATATCAAGTTAAAACCATAAACTATACCCGCTGTCTTTCCAACACATTACAATCAATTTGAATATGATAACAAATTAAAACCAAGGTCTATTATTCACGAAAAAATATTATTAATTGCTTAATCTAATTTTATTATTCATTTCATATCTTATTTTATCGGTTTCGTAATATTCTAAGAAATTATTACTTATTATAAAATCTTGAATATGTATCGTAAATGACTGATTCAAGAATGTAGAGCTTTGGATTTTATCTACTTGTTTTGTCCTCAATCTAAATTTATTACATCATGTCGATAGCAAAGTATTAATATCATCAATCAGCATCTTTCACATTCATAACAAATCGGGATCAAATGCCAAATATGAGCATATGAGCATTTTTTGTTAATACGTTGCCAGATCGCGTAACCGAGTGCAAGCTCTCGCCCTGGTCGGCCTGGTCACCGTGCAGCGCGACTTGTGGGGCGTCTTCGATGCAAAGACGCACCAGGACGGTTCTTCAAGACGGACACGAATGTCAGCACAGAGTCGAAACACGTAGCTGCGAATTATTCCCTTGCCCACTTTATTGATACACATTTTATTAAAATTAGTTGTTAATAAAGGACAAAGAGTAAAGCGTTATGTTCGGTTAAACACTTGCCTAATATAAATTTTAATAATTTATGAAAAATTATAAAATTTAATTTTATTTAATTTAATACATTTTAAATGAAATCTTATAAGATTCAATAGTTATAAAATTTTTGGAATAAAGAAACTATTATAAAATTGATAAAACTAAACATATCCGTTGAGATACTTATTTTTATTTAAGTGGCACAACTAGTGTAACCGCCTAATAAAAGGTGATTTTTGGGAATTTATATTGAAAAAACTCGTTCATCGATCATTCAAAATTTTAGGAATATATTTATACATGTTTTAAGAATACATAGTAGAATTTTTGAAGAAAAAAAATAAATATTTTTGAAGTTATCGTCGATCTTCAAAGGCCCTTCACTGCTGCAGTGATTAGGGCCTTCTACGTGGATGAAATTAAAAAAAAAATCTCGTTAAACCAGATAATATTGTCTGTAAAATGAACTACGATAAAAAAAAACAAACCAAAAATTGACAAAATGACGACGTTTTTTAAAAAAAAGTCGAATTTTACCTAAAATTTTGGTCGTTTTTGGACTGCCAAAATTCGATTTTTCATCCGATCAAAAAATCGATAGTTCATTCTACGGAAAACTATATATAGAACATGTAAAAACAATTTGATAGCGATCGGATCATTTGTTTTTGAGTAATCGCTGCAGCAAATTCCGAAAATGCTGTTTCAAGAAAAACGCGTTTAAAGATTAAATGATCCTTATACTATATACTATATATATACTCTTTAAATGGCTGTAACTCAAAAACTATTTAAGATACCGATTTAAAATTTTGGTATGTTATTTTTAAAGGTATAACCTATCGAAAAGTGGAAAAATTGAAAATTCAATTTTTTGAAAATTTCACACTAGTTGTGTCCCTTAAAACCTAAAAATAATTTTTATAGGCTTGTGTATTTTTGCCAAACATATTTTATTTTTTGATAAAAATAAATCTTCCTACTCTACTCTAGTGAGATATTTTACGGAGTGATCAGAATAGATTTTGTATCGGAATATTATTTAATATTCAACAAATGTTTCAAAAAAAAATTTGTTCGTTGAATAAAAGCTTCGTTCATTGTTGAAAACGGTGCGTTATAAATAATCACTGTTGACCATTTGTGATGAAACCTTGTTAATTTTTTATATTTATATAATTTTGTATGATAGACCAAAGAAGAGTGTGTGTTGTATAAATTAAACTAAAACTCGTGTAGACTTAGATTATCTTGAATGTCATTTTCATACGAAGATTGAAATTAAAATTGAATCCAATATCATTTTTCTCTAATCAATTGAATACTGTCACGACAAAAATGTATCGAATTTTGCAATCGATAATCGTTGGTATGTACATATTTTCAGTGTAAATATTTTATATATAAAACCAAAGAGTTATCCCTGCATGATTCTATGTATAGTTAAAATATAATAGGTCCTTAAATATATTACTTATTTTGATAAATCGTAATAACTGTCAATATATCTACTAAATTCAATGTGGTCAATCTCTCGCAGTACATTTTCATAGTAAAATTCATTTATATATGTGCTATATATAGTTAGTTTTCATTATTAAAATTATATTTATTCTAGCAAATTAATTTTGCCAAAACGTTTCATAAATTCTAAGAGTTCATAACTTACTTGTTACAACTTCACTGACAATAAAATGCTTATACGTGCGTGTAAAAATCTTCATCTATTGAAAAATGTTTCAAAATGTTTAAAAAAAACAAACAATCAACATTCGAATATATAGAAAATTTTCAATATGGTTAGATAACATATTCAAATCATTATTATTGAATAAGTAAAGTAATTAGAAGTGTATATCTATTTATTAATAAATGCCTTTTTGCAAATAACTTTACTTTATCTCAACTTCTTCATTACAGTAATAAATAATTTAGGAGGAAATTGAAGAATGAATCGTTGTTAATTTTAAGGTACGTGAAATATTTGTAATTTTGCTTGAATTACAGCTTTGTCGTATTTTTTATAATATTTATTTTTATTCTCACCAAAGCATGAAAATTGCACGCTTAATATTTTGTACGTTGCTTGCGATTGCATTGTGGTTTGTACCACAGAATTTGATATGAATTCAATGTTTTTTCTAACTAATCAAATATTTATATATTTTATCGTTTAATCATATTTATTTACTCATATTTTATCAATTTTTGTTTCATCTGTTTTGGGTTCTAAAAATGTATTTGGTACAAGTATATGCTTCAGCCAGGATTCTAGTTAGAATCGCGGGGCAAAATTAGAAACTTTGATGATGTTTTAAATTTCAACCGCTTATCGTAGGCCTATAATATTTTAGTATGTTATTTCAGACTACGAACACTATCGTTATATGAAGTTTCAGCAAAATCGTTGAAAAAATAACATTTAATTACAAAGAAAAGGCCCGGTCGATCTATATCAAAAGCTAATCAACGCTATTCCCAAACAATATCTTTCTTACAACTTTGGATTTTTTAAAATTTATTCATTATTTTTGGCTAAAACGGAGAGTTTTCTGGAGATTAGAAAAGAACTAACTTTTTTAAACATGTTTTACTCAGTTTGGAAATATCTAGTTAAAATTATGGACTATACATGCTTTTTTTAAACACATTTTACTCAATTTGAAAAAATCAAGTTAAAACTATGGACTATACATGCTTTTTTTAAACACATTTTACTCAATTTGAAAAAATCAACTTAAAACCATAGACTACGCTTTTTTTAAATCGTGAGATTCATCGAATGGCTTTTAAATTTTTGAAATCAATTCAACCGTTTTTGACGAAAGGTCAAAAGTAGACCTGTGGATAGATATATTTAAAATTCATAAAAATAAAACAGCAAAAACTTTGTCAAAAAATCCGTGGATAGATATCTTTGAAGATTTCATAAAAACTAGTTGCGAGCATGGCATCGTGCCTTAAGGCAAATTGCTGGAACTTTCCGAACCGTAATTAAAAATCTTGGTACGGAACCCAAAAAAATTACATAAAATGTGTGCACATTATGAAAATCTCTATGAAATATCTGATAATTTGATGTGCATTTGTCTAATGATAATTTTTGACCGCCAAAAGGCAATTTTAAATTATTTTTATTGAGAATCCATAACCGATAGACCTGCCTTCCCAAAAAATTCAATAAGTTTTTATCTTGTCAATGCAAGTAAAATGTTTTTTGAATGATTAAAATCGGCCGCTCCGTTTTCTTAAAAACGGAGTTACCGTTTTTGGCACTTCTTGCCCCGTATCTCCGGAATGGCTAGACCTGCCTTTGCCTAAAACTAATTAGCACGTCTCCTTATCAATACATGTCGAAGGTTTTTTCAATTATTCAAATAGGTTATTCCGTGTTCTCGAAATCGTCGTCGAAAAATTGTATCCGCACACACACACATACACACACATACACACATACACACACACATACACACACATATACACACATATATATATATATACCATTTTTTCTAAGGTAAGGTATTCCCCTACGGGAAGTTAAGAAACATGCACAAACACACACACATTTTGTCTAGGTTTAGTCTAATTCGATTCAGAATGACTTCGAAAGAATGGCCAAAACAATCTTCTACTTCGGAAAGTTCAAAATTTAATACTGGTAGACATTTAAACTCGTACGAATTTATTCGTAGTGTTGTGAACAAACATGCAAGTTGTATTTTCAAAATTTTATTATTAAAAAGCTCGACCTGTTCTAGTTCTTGTTGCGTGAGTTAGCTCTAGCGTGGCATTATAAATGATATTTTCCCACGATTTAGTATATTCAGAAATGATAAAGTGTAGAATATGGTCCCAGAAGGTTTAGGAAGGTTCCGTGCAAAGTGATATATGATGCTCGCGCGATGATATAGCCGGATTGAGTTCTTGAGGCGCCTGCAATATCCTTAAGCGGCAACTTTGCATATGGGCTGTCATTCGCTTGAAATATGCGCCAGAAATAACCATAACTCCACTATGATCGAATGTAGTAATAGAATCTATGAACGAAAACTGGATTTGTGGGGAAGATGTAGAAATATTTGCGAAAGTTTAGGGCTCAAATGAAAATGAGATCTATTCAAACAGTGCGTTTCCCGGTTCCTAGATAAATTTGAACTCCTACATTATTCATATATATATATATATATATATATATATATATATATATATATATATATAAAGAATTTTATATACCAAAGAAAATGCTTTTACGCATTTCGGCCTTAGATGTTTCGCCTACATCTAACCAGACGAGTATGTCTGGCACAATAATATTAATATCGACTACTACAACCGCTTTTTACTGAATCTTGTCTTTTTATATATGTATATATTTATTTAAAAACATTAAATAGTTGATATAATATAAAATAATAATAAATAAACCCTAGATAACAATTGCCTATAGCAAACGGTTTTGAAAGCTAAGCATTTTCTTCTGTTTTGTAAAACTGTTTTTCTCTGAAACCAGAATAATCCAAATATAATGAATCGTATTATGGAATACATTTTTTATGATGTCGCTAATATATTATAGAATTATTGCGCAATCTTGTTCAAAGTTATACAACAAATTTAATAAAAAGCAAATATATTTTGTATTAAAAGTTTCACTTAAAACGAATTAAGAATGATCAATTACCAAAATTGGGTGTTATTTTCACTTTATTATTTTTTTATTTAAATTGGTTTTGGAATCATACCAAATTTAAGTTAAATTACTTATATATATATATATATATATATATATATACATATATATATATATATATATATATATCTTAAAATTTAATTGTGGTTCATATATATGTTATAAATAAATTATATACTTTGTGAAATTTGATTTATTTTAACATGCATGTTTTTTTACAATAATATTTACGAGTAAAAAATATTTGCTTTAGAACATGCTTAAAATATCAATTCATAGAGCACATTTTTAAAC